TACTACGGCGTCATACTAGTGCAAAAGTAACTATTGGAAAATCATTAAGAAGAGATGCAATATTTCTCGATCATTGTCGACACGAAAATGCATTCGTTTCATCATTTGAATTAAAACGTAACTATCCTTATACGGAAAAGAACTTGAATGATCTGGTAAAATTATCTGCTATTTTTTTGCTTGATTTTTTTAATAATTTATGGCAAAATCTTAATAAAACTGAAATTAAAAAAGAAGGAATAAAAACTAAAAAAGATTTTTGTTATTTTCCGGGTATTCAATCCCGATTTTCTTTTAAAGTTTTACCACTTGGATATCATTCAAATAATCGTCCTATAGTTAATAAATTATGCGATTATATAAACTGTACTAATCCATTATATAATAAAATTCGAATACTAATTTGTGGGCATAGCTATCACGAATTTTGCTTTCAATTTTTAGGGTCTTATTGCCTTTATTGTTTCGAATTTCTTAATAATTCAATTGAGGAGTTGTCACATTCATACAATGAAAGATTACGAATGAATGAGGATATTGATACTTGGGTAGATTCAGAATCTCAACCTGAGTCTGACGCATCAGAAGATATTGAACCCATAAAAGAATGTGTTGATATTGATGAAAGGTTAAAAAAGAGAATTGAAGGTATATATTATTTATATTTAATTATATTATTACTATCGCTTTATTAATTATTATAATTTTTAATAGAATTTATTAAAGATTGTTCTCTGGATTCGATTTAAAGCCTAAATGCTTATATAAAATTTTTAACGAATTTAAGTATACTTATAAAATAATAATAATAATATATAGTAAATTTTGTACGTATATGTCTGCAAATAGCTTTTCGAAATGTAATAAAATATTAGCTCATATCATGCAAATATCACATGCACATCACGATTTAATCAACCAATCAACAGATTTTTAACCATGCTCTAACAATAAGGGGATCGTTGATTACGAGATCCTATTACTAAAAATTTTTTTAGTGATGGTCTTATATATTTAATCATTTCAGTAAAAGCGAATTCATTAGTATCATTAGAATAAAATTTTAACGTTTTCAACTTATGACAAGAATTTAGGATTAAAATAATTTGAGAACTTGAAGAAGATTGCAGGTCCAAATGAAGAATATTTGGACAATTTACGGCGATGGAAGTTGTGATTTCTGACATATAATCCAGCATCGAACATTTAAAATACAAAAGATTTTTTGCAGCTGCTTCAATTATTTTAACAATGAAAGGAACAAAAAATTGACGATTATGAGCATAATTAATGACTATAAGATTTTGTAAATTTGGAAATATTGGTCTCCAAGGGTTTGATGAAAAGTCAAGAGTTCCGATGCAATTTCGAATTTCTAATGTCTTTAAATTATAACATGATACCCATGAATCAATCGTATCCAGATTAACACGATGTAGTTCAAGTTTCTTTAAAGAATTTGATTGACTCGGTAAAGATTTAAAAATAATCGAACAATAATTATCACTGGATGTATAGAGAAGTTTAAGATGTTGTAAAGAAGTTTGCTTTTGAATAAGACTCGCTAATGCTAAAGCTTTTGTTTTATAATTTACACATTCAGCACTAATAAGCTGAAGATGATTAGTAAATGTAGTAATCTTCTCCATGAAAGATGATTCATCTTTCCAAGAAGATATATGAAGCTTCCTCAACATTATTAAATTTGGAGCATTTTGATTTATGGCCAGTATTTGAGCACTTTCATTAAGATAAATGAAAGAAATTTTTTCGGCCTGTTCTAAAAAAGTAGGCAACAAATATTTCCTTTAAAAGATCGATATGATTTTTGTTTCCAGAATTATTAATCCATTTTTTTGACATATTATTAATAAGTTTTAAGTCTAAAGTTTTTAGGAAAAAGGGATAATCAAATATTGGAGTTTTTTCATTCGGTAAGGGTATATTTTCATCTTTTAAACATTTTATTTGTTTTTCAGGAAGGCAACGTAAATAAGATATAACAAGAGGTAATAAAGATTTCTCCAAAGGATTCGGTGATCTCCAAAGTATTGGAACTCCGGTTCTACACCATATTCTATTGACAAGAATACATGAGAATAAATAATGAGAATCAATAATATTTTCAAGAATTTCTTTCAATAGTTCAGTAGATAATGAATTAATCGCCATATTTAACGGGTTATCTAGTGAGTTATCTAGTGGATTGTCTAGTGGGGAAATGCAATTATTATTTATATAAACTTCTAATTATACTGATGATTGGTTAACATCGAGGCTTATTTTACAATCACATGGTTTTTATAGAATACGGTTATTGTTATAAGTATATATATTAATATTATGGAGTGCATTGTACATCATGCACAGCATCGTTTAAACTGGTTTTGAATTAAATCCGCGGCGCAAAACCTGTTCATGATAAAAATATTTATTTTAAATCACGTTTTTCAGGTTTTTGGCGTCGAAAATTTTTGAATTATTTATTTTTGATATTGTTTTTTAAAATATATACTATTAAACATTAATATTAATGGTGACGTAACATAATGATAATTACCAACACTTATTATAAAAGGTCTAACACTATTTATACCTTTTCTCGACTTGGAACCTTATTTTTTAATGAGATATAAACGACAGAACATCTTGTAATTCCTTTAAAAATTTGCCGATCACGTTATACAAAAGTTTGGACTCGGACGGATAACCAAAAAAAGGCTTTGGAATAAGCCGCAATATAAAATATGCATGATTATTGACAATGATGCTTAATTCTCACGAAGGTTGTTTTTTAATAATGGATAAACGGATGAATTCGTTTGTCCTACGTTACGCTATCGATATATTATACGATATCATTGTTAGAATTTCTTACAGCCGGGCGCAAGATTCTCCTTCCAAGGATCTTGATAGAACATTCTTAAAGGCATATACTGTATTTTTCAATATTATGATTGAAAATGATTTCATAGGCCATGTGTCGAAATATAAATTGGCTTCATGAATTTCATCTATATAATTATCTCGTTGATCTAAGACTCGCCAAAAAGTCATCACTCCGGAATTAATTAAAGTCACCGATGAAAGTTATGATGAAAATAGTAAAGCAATGACACTTAATCCAGCATACGCTGGATATATAAAGAAATGAAAAAAGATATTGTATTCATTAAAGATATGTTTATATGTATTATGATAACCCAAAGAAATGGAAACGCTTGGTCCACTGCGACCAAGAATTTTGCAAGCAAAGCACGTGAAGATTTTAGAGGATGTATAAATGGCGCTCCTTTATTGATGCAGCCTCCATCTATTAAATCCAGTTCTCATTTGGTTCTTTGTATGGATAACTATTCAAAATCCGGATTTTTGTGTAAACTATGCAACCCGCAGATCAACTGGTCAAAACTATTCAAACTACACGGATTGAGTTAACTGTTCGAACTGTTGTTAATTATTCAAAACTGTTGACTATAGTTAACTGTAAAAAAACATAGTTAATATAAGATTTATATTATAAAATTCATTCTATACTATATATATATATATATATATTAAAAAATATATTAAAAAAAAATCATTCGTATACTATGAAAAGGAGTTAAAACTTGGTCTCTAATATTTAAAAAGTGATGGTTTTGAAAAAGATGAATACAAAGCATTTAAAGAAGGAATATTTAATGTTGGATATTGTTATCATTGTGAAATTAGTCTGCAGATATGGGTCACGCTAAAGGGGCATTTACCGTTAGATCCTATATATATTATACAGTATATATAATTTAAAAAGATCAACATAACGAATTGGAGTTGAAAAGGATGAACGCAAAAGCATTTATTTGTTATCAAAAATCTGCAGAGATGGGTGACCATAGTGGAATAAATAGTATTGGATACTGTTATAGAAAGCTAATAATTGGTTTCTATTAGAGAATAAAGATATTGATATTGATATTGATAATAGTATAAAAACGTTATTAAACGATATTAAATATCAATTAATATGGGCTCAAAGATATTAGAATAGTTGGAAAAGGTGGTTTTTTTTTGACTATGTATCGCGCAGAATGGACAATAATTAAATTAAATTATTGTATCTCTCTTCCTGTTGCACTTAAGCACTTAAGGAATTTAAAGATGATGAATATTCAAATGAGGTATTTTTTTAATTTGATGCATTTTATTTTTATATGTTTTAATTAAAACAATGTTTTAAAGTTAAGATCAGATCGTATTGTGAAATCGGAGTTGAAAATCCTTCGTTCATGAATTGTGGAAAATATATTCTGGTTTTCAAGTATGCAAAAATGGGTTCTCTCCTTATATATCTGGGAATAGTTGGAAAGATAAGTTAAACATATTGATTATGATTTAAAATCGATTCATTCCAAACACGTTAGACGAAAAGGTGAGTACCATTGTTTTCAGTGGTAATCGGTTACTTTCTTTTATAAACTCAGATTTATCTAGATATCCTTTCTACCGATGTTAATTAAGTTTATTCCAAGATATTAAATATTGTATAAATATGATATTAGTTAGAATGAATCAATATGATAATGATATAGAAACAATTTTCATTCTTATGAAATGACATATATAATTCAGTGCGCACATTTGAGAATACGAAAATTATGTATAGAAAAACATACATATCGTGTTGACATTTTACAGATCAACTAGCCCAGAGGTAACAGAAATAATTGAGGCATTAATATGAAAGTTTTATTAGTTACTTGCACTGATTTGTTTGGTTGCCACAATACAAATTAGAATCATCAAAAAAATGATACTCGGGATTTCAATTCAACTCAACACAATGTGGAAGAGTACCCCCTAATTGTACCCAAGGCAAATAAGTTGGAAGTAATACACCAACTTAAAGCAGGAACGTGGAACCTGTATAACTTTAGGCGCATCGCAAAATAGCAACCCCAGGATTTCGTTCAACATCCATATTTAAGAGTGAAAGAGTACCCTATAAATTATACACAAATCTTACCCTGTTTAAGACCGGAAAACAAAAGATTTATCTTTGATTTGGTTTCCTCTGAAGAAATAAGGATGATAACTTCCCGATAACGATGATACGTCACCCAACGGGTGAGCTATAAGTCTTTCCAGATGTAGGGCTAGCATGAATCTATTGCACATTCGCATATCAGGACTAATTTCGCATAATTAATAGAGCATAATCCGCGCATAAAATTAGGGATGGTTTTCTGGGTTTAAATATAGTTAATATCATAATCATCATAAAAAACTTCTACCATCCTTACATAAAATGGCCGGCATTAAGTTAAGAGTAACATTAGAATATTTAAGAATAATTGTCAACGAACCCAAAACTACCGGAGAGACCGTCCAAATATGGGTTACTTAAAGCAGAATGCACTTATATAATTTTACCTAATTAAATAAAATTAGGATTCACATTTATTAAGGTTAAGGTTAGGGTATGTTTGATAAGTAAAATTATCTTCCCATCATTTTTTATTAGTGCACCAATATGGGTCTGACAATTAGTTTCTTGCAGTATTGCAGTCATAGGAGAACTTTCGTCTGATTGGCTGATGTAAATCAGTTGCCCAGGTAACTTATTTATACAGTTTAAAGTACTTTTTTTAACCTGCAACGTTTTACCATTTTGTCTATGGTTTTTTTTTTTTTCATAATTGGCTTCAGCAAAATAATCACAAAATAATCATAAAAACAAAGGACATTCGTCTGATTGACTGATGTAAATCAATTGCCCGGGTAACTAATTTATACAGTTTAAAGTACTTTTTCAAGTTGCAAAGTTTCACAATTTTACTTACGAAAAATAAAATTTTTTTTCATAATTAGTTTAGAAGAGTGTTGCCATTCGCTATACAAAACAATCACAAAATAATCATAAAAACAAAGGACTTTACTTAGAAGCAAAGTTACTATGTGCATTATTACATTTTGCAATTAGAAAACGTAAGTAAAACGGATATACAAGTACTGATTGCAAAAAAATAGTCGAATAAAAAGAACGATCAAGGTGTTTAAAGTTAGATTTTGAAAATAAACTCTCACAAGTTATTAATTTATCGTATTTAGATTTAAATTACTTTTTTTTAATAATAAAACTTGATAGATAGATATAATATGGCTTTAGAATAGATAGTACAGTACATGTAGTATTAATTAATAATATAAAGAAACGTAATGCAATGGTTTTAATAACTGAAAAATCGAATTATTATTTAAGAATTTACGTAAATAAAGAATGAAATTTCTTGAGTTTTCTTCTTTTTGATAGATACAAATACGAGTACAGTAATAATTAGAGAAATACAGTATATATCACAGGTTACCCCCGTTAATATCAACCCATTTGGATTAGACAATTATGTTGAGGGTTGATAACAGTGGGATAGTTTTTATATAGCCTAAGCCAGTTTTGGTTTGACCTGACCAATTTGACCAATTTGACCAGTCCGGTCCAAGAATTTTTTGGTCAAATTAATATATATTATATTTATACATATAATAGACTTGATCAATTTGACCAGTTTGACCAATTTGACCAGACCAATTAACCAGCAAAGTTTTGGTCGACCGCTAATTTTAACAACACTGGCCTAAGCTTATTATTTGGTTGATATTAACGGGAGGTTGATATTGACGGGGTTGATATTAACGGGGGTAACCTGCATAAGTGATATTGCTAATTAATAATATATTTCGAGGATAGTAACGTTCTTTAGTAAAGGTAGTAAGAATTAAAAATAAATCCTTGTATTGTATTATCGTTATTTGATTAACAAATTATCACAATTTGATTAGTTAATTATCACGGGAAATCGCGGTAGATCTACTAAAACTATGTCGCATTTTTTTTTTTTTTTTTGAAAAGCAATCAAAACAATAAAAACAAAAAAAAATATTTCGTTATTTTTCTTTACATTTCTACTGTTCGCATCTACCTTTTTCTTTATTATATATAACATATTCTTTTAGATAGCCTTTATTTTTTGAAAAACACTGTCAGATCGCTGGATACATACAAGGTTGAGTGTATCTTTGTGCGTAGATTCCAGGCTTCATCGTTTTTGGTGCATAGTGATGCTTTAGAAATACAGTAAGTATTTTTATTATTAGTTCGAAGCTATAAATCCTTCAGGCTAACTTTCTATTTG